ATGTTTTAGGAAAGCTGCCGAATAGTTTGCTGAGCTCGAAATAGCGCAAAAGTGCTGCGCTAGTAGGTCTGCCTGTTCGCCTAAAGTTGTCTGGATGCCAGGGGTTGAAAGAATGGGGATGGTATATGAACTGTAGTTGCCGGTAAACTTGTGCACCTGATCCCACATTCTTTTAGATGTGATGGAGCTGTTGATGGATGAAATGTACTTTTTCCACGAGAGTTTTTCAGCCTGCCTGCGAATAAATCTTGCCTTTGTTCTCGCCTTTTTTAAATGCTAGGAGGTTCTCTCCTGTAGGATGTTTACGAAAAATGCCCCACTCCTTTTGTTGCATTTTTTTAGCTTGTGTGCACTCTTTTGTCCACCAGGGTTTAAGTTTTTCCTTTATAATGCCGGAGGATTGTGGTATAGTTTGTTCGGCTGCCGCAAGTATGCAGGCGGTGACTGTCTCGTTTATTTCCTCTATGCTTAGGCCATCAAGCATCTCTTTTTCTAGGGCAGCTTTTTCAGTGAACAGTGGCCAGTCTGCCAAATGTAGTTTCCAACGCGGTGGTCGGGATTGAGTGGTGGGGAGGGTTTGTGTTAATTTTATGAGAGCAGGCATATGGTCACTGCCGTAGACATTATCTATCACGCTCCACTTTAGTTCGCAAAAGAGCGAAGGTGAGCACAACGCTAGATCTAAGCAGCTAGTGGCTCCTGTGCTTGGGGAGCAGTAGGTGACGCTACCAGTATTTAAAAGACATACGTCATTGTTCAGAATAAAATCTTCGAGGGTTTGTCCTCTGGTGTCAGTTGTACTGCTTCCCCAAAGCATTCCGTGCGCGTTAAAATCCCCTGCGATAACAAACGGCTCAGGCAGTTGGTCCAAAATATGCTCTATATCTGAAATTGAAATCTGTAATTGAAAAATGCGTGTGTGGGGGGATATAAATGGAACATATGGTAATAGTTTTGTGAGCTAAAATGGTGACGGCTACGGCCTCGATGCGACTGTTGATGGTGATCTCTCTCACTGCAATTCCACTTTGGACGACAATAGCCACGCCACCGGACAACCGGCTAGCGTGGACGCGATCGCGACGTACTACGGTAAAACCTCTGAGGAAGTTGGTGTGTTTTTCTCCCAGATTGGTCTCCTGTAAGCACATAGCCATTGGAGAGAGACTACTTAGCAAATCTTTTATGTCACCTATGTTGTGAATGAGTCCTCTACAATTCCAATGGAGGAGAAAAGCCATTTTGGGCAATGAACTTGAGCAGAAAAATGGAGTAAGAATTGATTTGTTGGCAATAAAACCTTGGTGACATGCGTGTGATACTAAAGTGAAAACAGAATGGTACCATAACCTTTCAGGTTATGGAAAACGAAACTTATTTTACAGGGCTTTTTAGAGGCCCTGTAATTTGTCTTTTGTCTTTTTGGAGCGGTCGAGAGAAACTCGCCGCTCCTTCGGCGCTGCACGCGCCGTTTGACTGGCCGTTGTGTCCATAGCTTCATGAGAAGCGTTGGATCGTCGCTCTGCCGAGCGATCCCTGGGCGTTGTGGGCTTCGGCTCAAGATACGAAGCCTTCAAACCCTCTACACCGGACGTCGACGGGGTTCCCGCAGTCTGCCCGTTGCCTTGGCTCGTGCCAATGCATGTCGACGCCCGTAGTGGGGCCTTGTTTACTGAGGCCGGAGCAGCCTTGGCTGCTCCCGCAGTAGGGGCAAGCGGCGGTCGCTCCAGCACGCTGAGCGTAGCTTGGGCGGCCACCTGATGCTGTCGTGGTGCTGCCCCCTGTTGCACCACTTCAGCAAATGATTTTGTTGCATAGAAAGGGGAGACCCGATGCCTTGCTTCGCGGAAAGTGATGTTGTGGGCGACTTTAATGGTAATAATTTCTTTTTCTTTTTTCCATGCTGTGCAGGATCTAGAATACGCCGCGTGTTCTCCATCGCAGTTCGCACAGTGGGGTTCGGCCTTGCAGTCATCATCTGCAGAGTGGCCTGTGATACCACACCGTGCACAGGTAAGCTGCCCACGACAACTCTGAGAAGCATGTCCGAATCTTTGGCACTTAAAGCAGCGCCGCGGATTCGGAATGTAGGGTCTCACAGACAGTTTTAGATAGCCGGTAACTAATTCTTGCGGTAGTGTGGAGCACCCAAAGGTCACAATTATGTGCTTGGTTGGAATTTTTTTGTTTTCTCTTCTCACTACGATACGCTGTACGTGAACGACGTTTGCGTCCTTCCAGCCAGCCAGAAGCTCATCATTTGTTAGGTCTTTTAGGTCATCGTCTGACACAACGCCTTTGACAGTGTTCATCGTTCGGTGCGCAGAGAGGGTTACGGGCTTGTCCCCAAATGCTACTAATTTTTCTAGTTTCTGAAACTGTGTCTTGTCTTTAACTTCCACTAGCATGTCTCCGCTTGCCATCTTTGTAGCCTTATAGCCAGTTCCGATAGTCTCGGTAAGGCACCTGGACCCGAGGAATGGGGAGATGTTACGAGCTTTTTTGTCCAAGCTTTCGCAATGAATAACGTGGTACTTAGGGAAATGGTCTTGTTTTTCTGAAATTGGCATTACATTTGCTTCGGTGCGCCACCTTTTGAAGGGGCGATCAATGGATAAGGGGTTTCGTGATCCCATAGAAAAGTGCTGTTCCTTCAGTAAAGGCCACCCACCACGGAGCCCAACAAGGGGACGTGGCAGAACATGTAAACATGTCTGCGCAACGCCAGTAGTACGCCACTGCCATAACCTAATATATCTATCCAAGTTTGGATATTTACACCAGGTTAACCCTTGCCGCCAGGAAAAATTGGAAGTAAAATGAAGTGAGGAGAAGACAGGAAAGATGTAAAGTGAGAACAAAAGACGAAGATGTAGGGAGAGAGAGATAGGAAAAGGCGACTACCGATTTCCCCTGGGTGGGTCAGCCCAGGGGTGCCGTCTACGTGAAGCCGGGGCCAAAGGGGTGTGTTGCCTCTTCCGGGGGGCCTTAAAGGTCCTATCACCCAGCGTCAGCTCAACCCCCAGGATCCCCTTTTCCCCGGACACGGCAAAGCCACGCACGGCTAGGCGTGGGAGGGAGCCGAAGCTCCCCCGTTAGCTCGGGTCCGTGGTGTCGCTACACACCAAACGCCTACTCGCGCAGGCGCCCCTGCGGGGGGAGACGAATAAGTGTGGGTGAAAGTCCGCGGAGGCAATCGATGAGAAGTCAACACGATGATTTCGGGGAGCACTCATTGGAGGTTTATTTGGCTAACACAACTTCAATTTACAAAATGCACTAGGTCACAAAGACAAAACATAAAAAATGGTGGCATACCCCTCGGCCTGCATGGCATGGTCTCCGGTGGTGAGATCCGCTGTTTTCCCCGACTCCGCTCACCTTTCAAATTCAAACATCCTCTTTTCAACCCTTGGTCGAACAAAGAGTCTTCATAAAAACCAATCACATGTTGGGACTCGCATCATCACAACCAATCACAGAAACACTTTCATAAAAGGCACTACATTTGTAAAAACCTCGTCACCAAATGAAACACGCAAAGGAATAGGTTCTCCGCACGTGACACTCTCTCCCATGCCAGGCCGTGCCGCCCAACATTACTCGTGCTGCCTCCATCGGCCGACTTCCGTCGGCGGCCGTTCTCACGCTCGAGCCCCGTCAGTTCTTTCATTAACTGTTGCTTCCTAGAAGCGTCCTTAAGAGCGATGGGTACACCATTGGGCTCCGTGCGCTTACCAGGTGTACATGCGACACCGAGGCGCCCCGACATCCTAACAACAGCGGGGGAGAATATGGTCGTTTACCTGCCGCCACTATGTCTCGGTAAGCCAAGTGGTCGCGTCCCCATGTCATTCTAAATGACACGCGTGCCTGCCAGCAATAGCTTAAACTCAGACGGTGGCGCCTGACCTGCCTCTTGCTAGACGCTTTTCCCGAGTAAGCTTTCCCCTTCTAATCCCGAACGGGGGCGACCTTGACTGCTCCGCTTGTAAGCCGTAAAAGAACAAGGTTTTCCGCGAAACATTGCTCTCGCGACACCTCCCCCCTACGAAAAAGAGTGTTCCACTCGTTTTATCTGCAAAACACGAAAAGAAATGTGAACGTCAATATCCCACTGCGACACCTTACTACATTGTACCGTCAATGAAAAAAGAGGGGGGGGGGGGGGAATGCTACAAAGTTATTTGTTACACAAAAATAACAGCCATCTGGCTTGCTTGCCTTTCCTTTCCTCCCCTTAAAGAAACTGTGTGCTTTCTACTTGACAAGCAAGAATGATAAGCATTTCATGGTATGGACATTATTAACGTGACCTATAAGTGCCAAGCATGTTGTGTCAATGCAAAAGTGTGAGAGATAAGAAAATAGCATTGTCGCAGAAAGACAATGTGAATGCACCATTTCATAGAGTTGTGTCTGCTTAGGAACCCAGTCATTGCACAGCATATATGTCATCCACCCTGGTGGGGCTTTTTCGGCAGTATTTTCAAATAGGTGCACTCAGAGACAGGGTGCAAACTAGGAAACATTGTATTCGTAGCAAATACTTGAAGTGCGGGCAACTTGGAAACAAGCGGCACTCTTGACCACAATCCCTTGTCCCTGGTCATGCCAGCCATGCACCTTCAGAAACATCATCCACTCCTCATTGCTCACTATGCCTATGCCATGTTAAGAAGTGTTCTCTGCATATCCTGGGAGATGCACAGTGAGCCATGTGACCCTGGCAGTTCCTTTTTGTCAAAGCTGGCAGTGAGGGAATTTATCTGTGATACCCACACGTTGCATGCCCATCTATTATTTAATTCTGGAGCAGTTCTAGATAAATGACGTGCGGATTTCTCAAGAAAGTAAAATGCAAGCAAGCTTTTTAACAATAATCGTTGTGTGAATGGAAGTAGAGTTCAGCCATTTTTAAGAGTGGAGTGATCGTTTGACCTATCCCCATAGTAACAAAGGATAGACTGTCGTGCAGCAGAAAGCTCATAACAGCAGAGTCCGTGGAAATAGCAACTTTATTCGTTTAATTTCAATTATAAATACACACACATACAGAGTGTACACGCACGCACACCCCAGCGCCCGCAGTAAACAGCTTTGTACATCAATATGACTCCCCCCTCCCACTTCCCTCCTGCCATACAATACAGACAAAAGGGGGGACGTCACAGTAGATTGGCAGTTGTCTTCCCTAATGTATACATCATCCACATAAGCCACAGCTGTACAAGAATACAAACAAGATCAGATTATACAACAGATATATCCACACACCCTTTGCACATTGAGAGGCCGCTGACCTCGCAGTCTCCACAAGGGCACAGCTCTTTTCCCAGCAGTTCACGGTCTTCAAGTAGAACAATGCACAAGCACTTCCGGGCCAAGTCCGCAGCCACCAAGAGCGCACAAGTTACCAACCCAACTCAAGGCCTCGCCCAGTGCCATACGGCACAATCGAAAGACAAACAAGTGTGCACAATACTCATTAATCACTTTGTTCCTTTTTGTCAGCTGGACACTCTGCAAGCAAGACAAGTTAAGCCTGAATTGTGAGAAGGCCAACAGACTCTCTCAGCAAAAAATTTCAAGGCAAATGCATGCATAACGAATGTCACTGATCCAAGCAGTTGGCAATCCAGCATATCCCCAAGGTATTGCTGTGGGAGACTGGTTACTCGTAATGCACCCCATAAACAGGGACCTTCTGGCAAGGCGGATACCACAAGAGACGGAATTTTACAAGGTGCAAAGCCAGAAGTTTTTGCAGCCAAAGCAAGCAGCCTATAATCAAATACAATAGCCCAAATGTGCAATTACAGCCAATGCAACACCACATTTAATATGCACATTTTAAATAGCCGTGGAAATGAACTGAGCAGAAACGCAGCTTGCACATGCCATGAATATTCCAGCGTGATGGTACTTCAAGCGAGGCCTCCGGAGGCTGCCGGTAAACTACCAATAAACCATGGTGCTCCCTGCCTGATCTTCAGCGAACATACTCCAAACCATACCAGACTTGAAATATGCCACTCGCTTTTTTTTTTTTCCTTCTTTGCCCGATAATGCAAGCACTACACAACCACCACATTGGCATCTGTCGCCAAGGCAGTGCAGAACAAATGCGACGAGCAGAGATTTGGCAAACTTGTTCGGCAAAAACAACTAAAATATACCCTCTCAGTGGCTGTAGCACGCAGCTTGAAGCGAACGACAGGCAGAACAGATTACTTGGCGACACGATCGTGGCGGAAAAGTGATGCCAGTCGGGTGTGAAAGATACCAACCCTGGCTAGAAATAAAAGTGTTCAAAGCAACATTTTCAAAGCCCAGTTCGAAAAACAGAAAAAAAAAAGCAATAACAGAAGAGCAAACCAATCCATATAAGCAATTGTAGGTGCACGAAGTCCCACTAAGTTTGGATTCCCATCGTCTAATTTATATCACACAGTTATCTTGTAGAACTGCGATTAGTTGAAGCTGCAGATACAGAAGAAGCAACGACCGCACTTCCAAGTAATAGCTGTTGTGCTGCTAGCACACCAATTTGTTAACATCGTGAAATGAGAGAGGTTAAAGCATTGAACTTATGGCACTTTATGGCACAAAGGGCCTTGCAACAATCTACTCAACAACCCAAGCAAGATGGGTAATCTAGAGCAAGCATAATAAGACATAAAAGTGGAAGGAAATAACTAGCCACTCCACAATGACCATACACGGGAAAAACATCTGCCATGCACAATGCAACTCATAGGGTCAGCACAGCTTCTTCATTAGCGCTACAGCGCGGGCATTGGCAAACATCTATGCGAGCCGTGAACTCACAGCTAGATGCACACGTGAAACTGCAGCAGCGGCAAAACATGAAAACACATTGAGCAGTTGAGCACAAGCAGCACACAACTAGACACTACTCGAGACTGGTTACCTAGATTTAGGCCACAGCCAGGCTCTCCTTTCTTTGGAGAGAAACATTAAATCATATGCAAGGAACTGGAAACCAATGGAAGAGAGGACATAAGATGACACCACAAGAAATGGCCAGAGAATGATGGCGAAAAAAGCAAGAAATGCTTTAGGGGAGAGGAAGAAGAAGACTGTTGAACGCAGGCTAGAAATACACCACAGACAAGCATTGAGCGTAGGCCGAGTATCGATCGCGGAACGGAAGAGAATATCGCCTGCAGCAAAGTCAGATCGGCTGCCATAATTACGCAAACACTAGAAGCACTGAACAACAAACAAATCGTTTTTATACACTGTACAAAACAACTGGGATCTTTACATCAAAAACATCTCTTTTTTTTGTCCTTAGCCAAGAAAGAAAAATGAAGGAAAGCTACACATTGCACACTGCAATGAAGAAACACTTCTATGATAAAATGCACACAGCACACACACACAATGGTCAGCAACAGTAAACGACGGCTGTGGCGCACGCACTATACCTCGTGTCGATACGCTTGAATACACATATGTTTCTGACAAATTTCTATGTTGTGTGATAACACTACATCTGGAACACATTTATGACTAATGGCCATGAACGGCAAATTTTTTTTCTCTCTCGCCAATGCTGCGACAGATGTGATGAACTGAGAAGATCAACAGTTCCACTGATGATGGAGGACTGTCTTCACACAAGGTCTCACACATGCAGAGTTGCCTGCAGCAGCCGACGTGCAGAACCTCTCTACACATTTGACACTGAATGACACCAGGTGGTCGCAGAACAAAGCTCGCAATCGTCACGGTGACTGTTAGGTGTGTGAAAGCACACGCACACCCTGGCACAGACTTCTTCGATGAACGAATAAAGCTACAACGAGAAAATGGCCAAGCCATACAGGGAAACACTTAAAAACAGGCACAAGAGGCGGCATACTTTCACGTACGCCAAAAAAAAAAAAAAAAAGAGGTCCGCCAGTCGTTCGAACTAGCAGCATCAGTGATTTCCCCACAGCTCATCTTTCCTCTTCCGCACTTTCAGTCATAACACAGGGGTGTGCGAGGTTGAATGCAATTGTAGCACCAATTGAAGGACTTGCCTACTGTTCACCTACTGTTCAGTGGGTAAGTTGACACACGCAAGATGTTTCTGCACGAGTCATTCCTGTAGCTTTTTGCTTATCTGCCTCAATAGAGACGACCTTCGCTTTTTTCACTTCTTCAATTTTCAGCATTGCAATGCTTCAGAGCACAACAACAAAACTGCTCGTATTTCGATAGTTCTAAAGCTATGACACTTAAACAAGGTTAAAGAGACTAGGTATCTATGTCTACCATTCGTGTCGGCCAGCAGCACACAGAATGGTACATTACTGCGCCAACTACCTTTGCTGGTGTTTGTGGCCGCAGAAATTCACAGCGAGGTGCGACCTCCATCAGAAAATGTATTGAATTCTAATTTTGTTCTCAATCAGTACAAGGTGTTTTTCAGGCAGACATCCAGACCAGATACAACTGCAGCAGTTGAGTTATGCTCCTCACACTTGGCACGCTGTTGCAAGCTCTCTTTTGAGTCTAGCGGAATGCGGTGGCTTCTGAAATCCACAGTGTGCCTCTGACAGACGAGTTTTGGCCGGGGAGTAATGAGCCAGGCGGATGTGTCCAACTTTGTCCCACAATAGACTACGCACCCATCGAATGAGAGAAGAAAGTGTTCTTCATATCAACCACAAGCTGCATCTCTCTGTCTGGCTAATGCCACGCAAGCAGTGCAAACAAATGCAAACCGTAAAGGCTCCATTTGTTAGGGATAGCAATCGTGCACCAGCAGTGGAAGTCGACGGACAGCCTCGTTGGTTTTGACCGACTCCAAAACTTGCTGCACTTGGAAAGTGGCTATATGGCCGAGAAAGCAAATGGCACACCGTCTGCAATGGTGTGAGCCAGTGACGGGTCACAACGCCCTGGCAAGGGACAAACTGCGTTTGTTGTCAGCCCCTCCTCCCTCACTCAATCTGCACTTTGGTGACACTGGCAGTGTCGAGGCATTCGCAGTGTGATGACTGCTGCTGCGGAGTGGAGGCCAGGGCATTGGGGCAGCAGGGGCGGTGGGTAATGCGGCACTGGCGACAGTAGTCAGACTCTTCCGAGGGGTCCACGTGCACCTCAACGGGTGCTGCCAGTGTGCCTTCCCTGCAGGGTTGGAAGCGGTGGGAAGGGAGGGGGTAGAGAGGACAAGATCACAGAGAGGCATGCGGACAGGAAAAGGAGGTCACCAGTGGTTTCACAAAGGAACAGGGGAAGGTGAAAGTGGGGCAGGATGCAGTGGGAAAAAGAGGATGCACAGGGGAGATGCAGCAGCACAGCGGGTTGAAACAAAGAAGAAATAGAAGCGAGATGGAAGTCGATGTCACATTGGACAGCATGAAACAACACAAAGGTGACGGAGAAAAAGCCACAGAAGACAGGAAAATAAGAACGTCCATCAGAGGTAGGGAACACCGGGCGACCAGCATTAACATTGGCAAAGGGTGCACAAGCCCAGAAAAAGGCAGGAAGGAATGTGGAGAGAATGCAAAAAAACATGTGAATGCATTCCGTATAAGGACAGTAAAACGAATATTCAGAATTATTTCATACCATTCGTTTGAGCATCTTGAGCCTGCTTGCTACAGCTTGCTAGTACAGTCAAACCTCTTTAGTGTGTACTCTCTTTAAATGTACTGAGGGTTATAACGTAGTTGCGACGAATCCCCGACTAGGTGTCATAGCAACTAATGCATTCGTGGACCACTTAAGCTGTAGTGGTTGTTATTACACTTACCCGTTTGTGCGTACCGCGATAAGGTTTTGTGTCGTGTAAGCTTACTGCGCCGCCAAACTTGCATACGCTGCCATGTGTCGCAAATTGTTTTCGGTAATTTTGATACGTCCGAAGATTGTCCTTAGTACTTCAAGCATTGCGCGATTGCGGCGATGCCTTTGCAGATAATCATAGCAGAAAAAAACAAAGGTGAGGTGACATCCACAGACAAATGTGCCAATATGACTTATCGCGGTCAACAAATCTTATCACATCTCCAGCTATCTGCTTGGGCGCACATGTGGCCTAGCACCGCGTTGAGCCTACTGCACACTTTAATAGGCGACAACCCAAACGCAATGGTCCGGCGCGTTCACTGCCACTTCGTTGTGCAAGACCATGTTCAAGCACACACCACTTTGCAGAAATGCAAAGCTCGCTGTTGCGGAGTTCAGTGTTTCAGGTTACGGACACTGAGAAACCTTCCAGTATTGACGCTGGCAAGCGCACGGTACAGCAAGTGTAGCACTGTTGTAATCATACTGCGCGCTTTTAATAAATGCCAGCTCAAACGCGCCTCCGTTTGCTGCCAGGACTGCTAGGGCATCACGATGTGCGCATTGCGTGCAAGGTCTGTAGCAGAGAGGGCATATTCTACAACAAGCAGATCAGCAGTCATGGCATGCACTGGGTAGGCCAAGCTCTGTATGTAACCAACCAGCTGACGATTTGTCTCTCTACAGCCGTACCGCATTCGGACAAAACTGTGCCGTTTTTCGCTTCGAAGCAGACTGCGGGACACGTGTCGCAGAGAGCCGGTTACGTCCGTTTTGTCGCTATGCAATGCTGTGTACTCCTGACCCGGCATGTAGTTTCGAAATGCACCTTAGCGTCGCAACCGCGTGCTATTGGACAGTTGTGCGAGAGTGACAGGCAGTATCTTTTCTGTACTTTGAAAAAAAAAAGAAAAGAAATGGCTTAGTGGTGGGCACTTAGGCAATACTTGCTTTCATAGAGTAGTTATTCCTTTATTAATGGAAATGGCACTTGTCAGAAGATGCAAACTTGAAGCTGGTTATTATAGCGTGGTATGTTTAGTGCACAGTTACACCGGCGTCCCCTGCAGGTACGTTCTAACGAGGTTTCTCTGTATGTTTATGAGTGTAAGAATTTTCCAGCACAATTTAATGTTAAGGGATGCCCACAAAAAAGAAAAAGAGGACAATAGTGAAACAAAATTGTTTTGCAGCCAAAAGTATCAAACTACGTATGTGCAGTTTATTTGCTCTTGGTGCAGCAGGTAACACAACGAGGTGTACTTGAAAAACTTATAACCATTCTAAACAGAACAAGCATGAAATGCCCACAGCCGTGAAAATTTACAAACGCCGCGACAGAAGAACAGCAGGCAAGAAGCAGCTCTGCAAGAGCATGCCAGTGACATCATAAGTGAAGCTGAAATAAGTACTTTTCCACCTTTTACAGTAGAAAGTAGAAAGTTACTTTGTTCGTGAAAGCATATGCACATTAGTTTGCTCTGAAAGTGTTTGAGAATATGCTACAGTATCTCACAGTTGGGGAGTGGCATGGCAGCCTTTCGTTTCCAGGCATCACAGCTTGTTCTAAGCTTAACAAGCACCTTGAGCTTTCCAATGTTAGCTCTTGCTTCCAGCCCAAAAATTTAAAAATCTAAAAATCCACTGACAAAGTCAACAAAAAAAAAAATAAACTTCACAGCTCTTCACCAACCAAGAGGGGGTTACACAAACAGCGTACCTGTATCCGACAATGGATCCCGCAAGGGCACGGGTGCTTGCCGCATCGTCAGCCATGCCAGACATGTTGGCTGAGCGCTCGCTGAGGCTGACCGTGGCAGAGGCTGTCTCGCTGTGGCTGCTCAGGCTGAAGCGCTTGTTGGACGACACCTCCGCCTGGACTTCCAGCCTGAAATTAAGTCACCATGAAGAGAGTCAAACGACAGAAGGAGAGGTAAAAAATTGTTTGTGTTTAATGTCACAAAGCCACAAATGATTATGAGACATGCTGTAGTTGAGCGCTCCACAAATTTCGACCACCTTAGGTTCTTTAAGGTGCAGCTAAATCTAAGCACACGGGCCTCAATTACTTTCGCCTCCATCAAAAATGCAGCCGCCACAGCCGGGATTCGATTCCGCGACTTGTGGGTCAGCGACGGCGTGCCTTAGCCACTAGATCACCGTGGCAGGTACAGAAAGAGAGGTCTGTGTCAATGCTGTGGTAAATGTGAAACTAAGGCATTGGCATTGTGTCGGGGGGCCGTGCACATGCGGGCAAACTGACCCTAGGCTATAAAGGTGATTGACGATGCTGCTAGTCGTGATGCAAGCCCATACCTCGATGCTGTACGCATAAGACGAGACCAATAAAAAAAGAGTCAGCACAGCAACATAAGCCAAACGTCCGAACAAGCAGAGAAACGTTTATGTACGGCCGTCAGCATGCTTGACACCACACTCTGCAGCGTGGCCAGATCCAGTTTGAACTGCGCTACGCTGATTGGCAAGTCTGCAGCGGCTGATGATGACTCAGCTGACTCTTCCCGACTGTCACGCAGTGAAAGATGAGTCAACCAGTCAAACCTGCCAGTGACCCGGCTATTGTAAGACACTGCAAACATACTGAAATACACTTTATGGCACTGGCGGAAGTTTAAAGGGGTCATGACAAGGTAGAGAGCAGAGTATGCTTGCACGCGTGTGAAAACTGGACTGTGAGAGATCATTTCAGTCCAAAATAAGCTGTAGAAGTCTTCGGCTGTAAACTCCGCCGGCGACTGCCATTTTGCCGTGGCGTGTGTGACACCACAAACCGATGGGAGCAGTGCCGTCGTCTGCTACAAAACAGCACCTTCAGCATGCGGTCAGTGTGTTCACTGTGTTGCAAGTGTTGCTTGCCGCGTGGTCCGCAAGTGTTGCAAAGTAGTACCGGTACCTTCGACATGTCGTCGGCACCGTCGTTAGCTCACGATTCGGGCAACGATTCATCGAGCAGCAAAAGCGGCGACGACGTCGTGTACGCTGTGCATTTCGATTTCGACCCCATCGCCACCAGCTCGAGTGACGAAGAAAGCGTCGAAGACGGGGCAAACGCAGGTGCTAACGCTATCGCTAACGACAAATGCACTTGCCTCTTTCCTTTCACACTTTTCAAAAGCACCCCGACGCTTAGCTTGGAGGACAGAACGGTGCGAAAATAGGGTCGGCACAGTGTCCGGCCACAGCCTCGGCTTTTCCACTGGTATACCGAACTTGCCAAGAAGACGCTGGTCATCATTGTAGCTGCCTGCCGTGAAGTGCGCCGAGAACATAACAGGTGCATCACTTGCGCACCGGTGCTTCCTGCGCCAATCACCTCCCAAGCCTTGGGTTTGGAGGGCTATTTAGGAAACTTGAAGAATGACGCAGTACTCTCCCTGCCCGGTACGCTCTGGCACCCCACAGCGCAGCATGGGCGACGTGGTGGCATTGCTTCAACCGCTGCTAGTCATTTAGTTCCATTGGCACGTTGAGTAACACTGAAACAACTCGATTGCAAGCACTGCTGACCATAAAACACGATCGCCCTCCATACTGCCCACCATGCAGAAGCTCGCGGAGCAAACGGTTCGTTACGTCACAGCTAGCGAGCGCGCCAGTGTTGTCCGACCACCAGGTCCCTCCCTCTTTAATAAAAATATTAGATTATAAATCAACGACACGACTGAATGCGCTAAAATTTCACCAGCTTGTTTGTGAACCCACAAGGACCAGCCCACACAACACAGATTATGGTAGAAAATTTTGGAGGGTCATGATTCTGTTAAGGGGGGACGCAGCTCTTGAAAACTAAAAAATGTCGAAAACGTCTGTTTTTGGAAATTCATATAGTTCGGGTGTATTTCAAATAAACTACCTATTCTGTAAATATCAGCGTCTAATTCAACCCCATAGTTTAAAAAAAATGCTAATTTCGGGGCCGTCGCAGCGCCCAAAACACACAAAAGCCAAAATCAAACCAACTTTTGTGCGCGCCATTCCGAGACCATGCAGCCGCCGTTCCGCGCCATCTTGATCTTGACCATGAATTCTTTCTCTCTCGGTTGCCGCCTTTCAATACAGCGTCAACGGCGCGGTTGAGATGCTATCAGCGTTTCCCTGAGATGCGATGCGAAGCGCTGATTGGCTAGAGCAGCTCATTCATATCTCGCGGGCGAAAGCGCGCGCGCCATTGGCTGCTGCGCTGAAAGCGTGACGGTCGCTCCGGGCGATGACACATCCGGCGCGCTCATCTCCCTGTTGCTCTCTGCTCAGTCTGCCTCGATATATGTTTGCTTACGAGCCGCCGCTTTTTACCTTGCGCTGTATTTTCGATCAGTTTCTCTTTTTTTTTTTTCGCACAAGTTTTGTGCCTTTCACCTTTGTTGCTGTGCGTGATGTCGACAACGAAGCCGAAAACGGTGCACTAGTTCAGAGCGCAGTAACACGTTATGCGGCTTCTACAAGAATATAAATTCCGCTTTTCTGCTACAAGTGCCCAGTCCGTAGATGCTTGTGGCGGCGAAACTGTGCTGCGGGCTGCCACCAGGCCAGAATCCGACAAATCGTGTGTACCTGGAGCCGTGAATGCATTGAGCATGTCCGAGACCGCCAGATCCAGCACGTGCTCTGAATTCGTGCCGTCGGACGTGACACCGACTGTTGCCGAGATCGCCAGACCCAGCACTTCGACTGTATCGAGACCAATAGCTTGCATGGGCCGTCAACCCCCTTCATCTGCGGACACATTTCCTAAGGAAAAAATCAATGGGAATGCGAGATGTCGACACGCCGTTCACGGTGACCTCAAATCTACACCAGCAAGGTAGAAAAAATTTGAACTGTTGCAGCCGGCTCTTGAAAGAGATGCCCTACGCCTGAAAAAAATTTCCCATCAGATGATGGAGAGAAGACAAAAGAGGAAAAGAGTGCACAAAGGCACTTCAAGCTGTAATGCTGGAGCTTTTCGTGAACACATGTGCTGCACTTTCAAAGCCCGTTTCCTCAAAATGGATTTTTTAGGTAGTTGTGGTGCTGAGGAAAGCGATTTCTCAAGAAATGCTTATCATATTTGTGCGCCATTTCTTTTATTCTGCTCATGGATGATTTTGGAAGAGTGTAACAAGCTTCTTTTTTTTTTTTGAATTGGTGCCATTAATTAATAATAAACAATTCTTTTCGATAAATGTCATCTTACTGGCTACATCAAATTCAAAGTGGCATAACATTTTTTTTAAGGGGAAATTTAAAAAAAAGAATGGCTCTATAGCACCCTGGAATATCTATTCAGGGATGACCATAAATATTTTCAGCCTTTGGGTATGTCCTGGGATTTCTTCCAGCTCTTCCTCAAGCACAACACCCAGTTGAACCTCAGGTTCTTGGGTGAAACCCAAGTGAACCACCCAGTTAGACCTCAGTAACTCCTAGAACCCCTGAACACCATTTCATGAAATTTTGCACTTTTTTTAGTTTTAATGTAGTGAACATAACCTGGAAGTTTCATTAGGATATGTTAACAAATAAAAAGTTCGATTTCCGGGGCAGCCTTCCCCCAGTACAGGCCATGCTACGGAATGATTTTGTTAAGCGTGCCAATGGCTGTACATTTTTGCTCACATGTAGAGCTTTTATAACGGTATTGTATTATAGATGTATGCTCCAGTTACTTAATAGTTATAGCATTGTGCATCTGCAGGGAAGTCCGAGGGCTTTAATCCTGCCATCAGGACATCACAATCCTATAGTCAGCGGTAGCCAACATTGTCTGGCATAATCGGACGGAGATACTGCTTTCTCCGAAATTGTCTTGTTTAGATTTCTAGTGCCAGGAATAGTACTTCAGGACTGTACAGGCACACCGAGCAGTCAGAAACAGCTGTGCGCTCTCTGCTCATCGGCCACATCGTGTTGTACTTAGGGGGGGAGGCTTGCTAGTGGACGCATGGGGAGAATCTGAATCTGATTCTCTACAATGCTATCACTGCCCAATTTCATGGTCCATATAGTGGACAGAAGTCATACGTCATCACTAACTCCTGGAACTATGCAAACTACCTCTTATGAGAACGAGAATCTCATCTGCAACAACAGCATGTGAGTACGTACGCTCTACCCTTATCATGACAAAGCTGCACCTTAGACAAAAATAATTTTGTTATATCCAAATATTCATTATAAAATCATATTTCTAACACTATATCTACTAGAAGAGTAATCTTCATTTACCAATAGATATTTCCTTACATCCAAATTCATTATATCGAGGTTTGAGTGTATACACAAATGACTACACACACAAATGAACAAAAATTGTACATTGGTCTGTGCATTTAATTTTTTTGTGTGAGTACTTTTCTCATTTACTGCCATCATCAATATGTTTTAACTCTTTTTTGTAAGCCATCCTTGTGTCGTGTAACTAACCGGTGTGAATGGGCACTGGCCGAAGCGATGCTTCCCGTGAGTGAGTGGCCAGCGATGGCCGTGTTGGATGCACCCGCCACGGTGTCCAGGTGCGAACCAAGGCTGGGGCTGCCACCGGACATCCCCAGGGAGGCTGCCTCACCAATGCTGGCCGGTGCAATGCCTCCAGCCGTGTCCACGCTCGCACCATCAGCCGCAACCCCAACAGACCCGCTGCCTCCGCCACCTATGCCGTCGCCTTCCTCGTCAAACTCGATGCGCACCCCGGACGCTGAAGTCGTGACGCCGCAGCCACCAGAACGGCAGAGGGAAACTGGCACCACTCCGTAGATGTAGGCTAACAGTATTGGAACCCCGATACCTGATAAAGAGATAGAGTAAGTCTCATTCACATCTGCAACTCGTATCAGTCGTGCGTACATTTGCAGCTGGTGATCAAAAAGTGACTCAAGGGAACCTACTCAGAACTGTGCGCAACCTATACCCACTTGCTCAACGAGTTCACACCTACTCATACTGCCACTGTCTGATAACAAAGCCAACGCCCTATACCAGCAAACCCAATTGGTTCAAAGGTTCGCAATTGCCATCATGCGATTGAAAAAGTCAAGCAGCAAGTGACTAACGTTTGAGTAACAACTTCCCAACAAAAGTGGCCATTTACGACCATTTGCAAACAACTGGGTCACGCAACTAGTGCTAGCCGCAGGTGCGAAGAAGCTTGTAGGGGACGTAGATAAGGAAAGGTCAAATCACAAGTCATTTATTGAAAGTAATTATAAACAAACCTGAGCCCTTTTTTAGCGCTAGGCTATACATAGAGCCAACCTCTAACAAGCTTTCCTAATCTGTGCTAATATTTGGAACACGTTTTGAACATAGCTGTTACGAAACTGTAAAGAAACACTGCCAAAAAATTATGTTATATATATATATATATATATATATATATATATATATATATATATATATATATATATATATATATATATCGCTAGCTTTTTTTTTTTAAATGTTCAAATCACATAACTGTGTTGGTAACATCTAACTGAAATTTGTTTTCCGCTGACAACCTACAAGATATTTTCTGGTTAACCCACAGTTCTGACACATTAAGCTCCTTAATACTTGAGCCTAAAAAAGGTGCGTGAATCAGCATTTACAGAAAATTATTGAGCACGCCAAACGGCAGCTTCTACCACCAAAATGTGAATGTGGCGATTTCATCAGGCATATATCGCCACAGCCACTTTGAATACAGGGCAGCAGGTCTTCACTCACCAACGGCAATGCCTGCGATGATCGGCGACACGAGGAACGAGGCCACCACGCCGCTCGTCACCACGAAGTTCCGCTTGAGGCGACTCGTGGTGCGCAGGTCGTACTTGGAGTGAAGCTGCACCAGAGGGGGCACACAACGAGAAAGAGACAAGACAAGGGACAAAACACACAAAGATAACAGCCTTCATTAGAGTCACTCCGGGGAGAAACGGGAAGCACTCCAAAAAGTCTGCCATCAACACATCAGTACCTTCTCCAAGATCTGTTGGCACAAAACTGCGTTAACCGAAACCAGAAGAGGCTGAAGGTTTCTAGCTGCTTTCTAGAGGTGCAGGATGGTCAACATGAAGCTGTCGATAAGTGCATATAGGAGTCCTTTTTGCACATTACTCCTCACTTGTAGCGCCCTAGCCAATAAATGCTGCTGAGCGAGTATCAGCGCTTTTGAAGGTCTGGAATCACTTCTCAGTGCTAACGGCACAGCCATGATTACGAGAACAGCTACATACATTGTATAAACCACTAGGCTACATTGACTGCCTTAAACTGCCTTAGACACAACAAGCTATAACTCAGGTCAACGTCCCTATCTTTTTGAAAATAAACCTATATCTCCACTCCATCTACAGAACCAGCTCCTACAAGGGCTAAGAAGTACCTGTATGGATTCCATTAACAGTGCAGCACAATGTCGCAGAACAGCATTGCTTTCTAGCAGCGAAGTTGAGCGAATATCTGTTGCATTTATACCACGGCTTATGGGTATGTTAAGTTATAATTATATGATATTTTTGGACATTTCTTCATAAACAGTGCGGCGATTCAGTATGTCAAAAATTTAACTGCACGCACATACATTACACTGGTGTATAACTGTAATACATTGTATCACTTGTGGTATGTCCTTAAACAAACTTCCGAAATCCATTTAGGAAAGAAATTGAGGAGCTAAATCACCAAGTTACATGGTCAGTGACTTGTACATTAAGCTCTAGCTTTTGTGCGGCCAATATAACAAGTATACGAGGTGGAATTTATGGAGTAATGCTGCAGCGAATACATGAGCATGGAAGCACAGATTTCAAACTAATGCAGCACTTTCCAAGATGCAAAGTTTGGTGCGTAGCTAAACTAAGCACAATAGCGACAGAAAGAAGTAAGCCGATATGACTAATGCTTGAAGCAAGAAAATCATGGCTAGCGTACGAGACAATCTTCGCAGAATGGGCTATTTTCTGCTAGCCACTTGTTACTGGCATGTTTGAAAACAACGCCCCTTATCATGTTGGTGCTTTGGCTAGTCTTTTTCTCAGTCACAGCTGCAGATACAGCTAATTTTCAACAACCTAGCATTACAAAAAGACTGCTGGCCTGAGTGCCAACAATGGTACCTTTCGTCCTACCCATACAGGAATGCCGATGACGATGGCGGGCACGGCGATGCCTGCAATGAGGGCGATGCCAACGGGGGCGCCGACGAGCATGCCCAGCTGCCACAGAATCTTCTTCTTGCGGCTCCAGGGCTTCTTGCCCCAGAAAGTGCAGCCCGACGGGCTCAAGTAGTGCAGGTCGGACACCTCCTTCATGCACAGCCAGCAGAACTCTGTGCCACACAGGCGGCACGTCATGTGGTTGCACGAACCGTCATCCATCTTGATGATGAACACCTTGCAGCAGGGGCAGTGCTTGATGTCATCGCCTGAACGGCAGCAATGTGCTTGCAAGGTAAGGCAAGCTTGCCAAATAATGCACACACTGCGACTACAATGGGAACGGTCGAGGACAACGGGGTAACTTATTGCGTGTCTCTGACACTGCTACTCGTTATGCCATGCAAGGAGCCTGCTCCTGAAATTTGATATCAAGTGAGCAGCGGCCTCCTACCTCCATTACAGTTTTAAACATGATGCCAAACTTAATTTTCTAGCTGGCTGTAAATAAAATTTCTTTCAATTTATTACAACTAAGGCATGTCAGACAAACTTATTTGGTTATTTTGGTAGTTCTTACAGAGTCCCAATAACTGTATTTACACACAAGCATTGTATTAATATCCCAGAAGGTCTCTGTGCTAGTATCATACAAATTCCAATCAGAACAGCCCCAACGAAATTGGACACCGGTACAGCACTGACGGACTGAAGCTCTGCCTCCCTTTGATGTTTTGTATTCAATAGCAAAGTTGATAAAAATAAACCAACGGACACCTTACTGCTAGCTTTAGCAGTCAATTAAGATATCTGTAAACAAAGAAACACCGCACGTAACCTGTGCTAAAAATATCCAAGCCATTACCATTTCAAGAAGCAGCCACTGCTGAGCCATTGCCATAGCAACCACCAATTTCTTACACCGAGGCTCAGGAAAAGCGATTTCAACACATTTAGAGTGGCAAGCCTTGCCCATATTCTGGATACACCCACTGCAGTCTCTTGGCTGCCACTCATTTGGCCAAGCACACTGGATCTAATCACCACTGCCATTGCAATTCCAGTGCGGCAGCACGACAGGCAGATGAACAAGTAGCTTCGCTGTTAAACTTTGCACGGCTAGTGTGAACTTCTCTCTTTTATTTAGTACAACGACTGCTATAATCAACAGCTCCTAATAACTGTGTTAGTCTCTGAAAACCTGGTTGCTAAATATAATGTTCACTCCAATGCGAGCCTTCAAAGCAAAATTAAGCTAATATGACACAAACTGTAGATGCTGGATACGAAATATGTGTATTTATTAGCAATCAATTTTCTCACTTGAATCAGTAAATAATAATAATAACAACAATATCTGGGGCTTCACGTGCCAAAACAATGGAGTGATTGTGATGCACGCTGAAGAGAATAACTTGGAAAAATTTACCTTCTGATGTTTCGTTAATATGCACCGACAGCCAACCTCTAGGCGTACACCATTGGTGCCTACACATTATCACACCTGCGCTACCTGAAACTATGTGTCATTAGTGCATCCCCATAATCCAGAACACGCTGTTCCAGCTTTGCACACAAGCGCATTAAGCAATGTACACACAACACTGCACTCACGCTGCAGGCCCTCGTCATGCGGGAACCCCAGGGTCGAACCAGCCTGAGCAGCGGGCCTCGAGGCACGCTGCGCCCGGGCCGCATCACACGTCTGGTTAGGGTGCCACTCCTGTTTGCAATGGTAGCAGAAAGCTGTGCTGCAACCGGGACGCTCGCAGCGCAGCTTGGGGCAGCTGGCACAGCCACTCGCTATCACCACGTAGCTGCGCACAACACAGGTACCGTCGAGTCCACTCATGACAATACCGTTATTAACAAGTCGTATAGTATCGGATCTAACGAACAACAATCATACCATCCACTTTTCTATGCCTCCTATGGTAAAATGAACTACTTATTACGATGCCCAACTGCCCTGATATCACATACAGCGACCAAATCTGGCTACAGTGCATGCAGAAAACTCTGCACCGACTGTGCCGGGCTGCGGACCTTGCTGAGAGCGACGACCTCGGCCACGTTGCTGAGCAGCTTACTCAGGTACTGTCATCAAAGTGTGCCCAACGAATTACTATATAGTCCCTCCAAGACTGTTTCCGCCAAGAACCTCCCACTTGACTACAAGAAGCACCTACATACTCTTGAGAAAGATGCATGCCAGCTTTGCGTGAAGCAACCAAAGCTGACAGATACTGGCTTTTCTGCTAACAAAATGTTTTTGCCTTTTAGTTGTATTGTAGTAACCAGACTTATTCAAAAATATGAGTTGTGAAACTGCGTTTGGAAACCTGGACATGCCATTGGCCGACCTAGCGGGGTGAGTAGATCGTCGTGCCCTCTGGGAGTGACAATACAAAACACTGCATCGCCACTTGTGCGTGCGCTTCTCTTTAGGCTGCTCAAGGCCGCGTGTAATACTGGCGTCGTCGCCTCAATAAATGATCTTGGCTTGCACGGCACCCGCCGCCGCTGTCAGATGTTTTCGCTCTGCAAAGGCGCAATCAAAGCCTGGCCATTTGGTCAAAGGTGGTGCTTGCGATTTCGTGCTACGATGGTTTTGACGCTGCACCATGATTATTTCTATTACTCCTCGTTCGGTCGTTTGAAAATGTGCGCTTGAGATCGATTGCTCACGGAAAGTTTGATGAATCCTTTTAATTGTGCCACTCTGCGGTTCACGATTTGTCTCACTAACACGACGTGAGTGATGGTCGCACAAACAAGACACAGATGTAGTAGAGTGCAAACCAAAGCACAACAGTACTGATCAGTACTTTGCACGCAGCGGTGAAATTCCACTAATCGCGAAATCAATGAGACAGTGGCTGGGATACCATGTAATTATGAAAGCCCGATGACAGGAAAGTAGGAACATTGAACATTGCTATTAACTTGCAACTAGCACTGCAAGCGCTCTTTTCAGGTGTCTTTTCAGGTGCAATGTTTGTGGAGTCTTTCCAATGGCACCGGCATTTGCTGCTCGGGCAACGTCGTCTGCTGCCGTTGACAGATTTACAGGTTGGATCAACCTGGATCAACGTAGCATCCCGCTTGCATCACGCCTTGCCGCGCACTATTTTGCCGAAATGTAAACATCGTGGTCTCTCCACATGAATCTGATAAACTACCGAGTTCACTGCATGGTCCATTTACGCTGTGCCAGCTGTGTGAATAAGGACAAAGCATCAAGAGAACAAGCAGCTCCTCTGGCCTTTATAACGTCTCCAACACTGCAAAAAAGTAACATGTTCAGCACCCTTAGGCACCAACTAACCTAAGAACAAATTCTACGCGCTGCCATGCCTTTTGGCAGAATGTGCCGGTGCTCACAATCTTGCTAAACGCAAAAACACAAAATATTGCATCTTCTAGTTCTTCGCTTCAGCCATTTCGGCCGATGCAGTGTTCGGATTTTCATACATGGAGCCTATGGGGAGTTAGTTTCGCAACTCATATTATTGAATAACTCTGGTAGTAACAGCGCGATAACCGTAGGAAGAGACAAAATGGACTGTACAGCGCTCTTTCTTGTCCATTTTGTCTCTTCCTACAGTTATCGTGCTATTGCTAAAATTATTTATTATTATTAATTATTACTACCACGATGAGCAAACTCCCCCAAATTAAGCCTTTATTCTTGGTCTCTCTCTGTCATCTTTTTTTTCCCTCAGCCTACTTATAACAATTACCTGTTATAACAATGAGATTTCCTTGGCACTTGGATATCATTATAAGCAGACTAAATAAATATGAAATATGAAAACGAAATATAAATATGAAAACGAACACCAAGTTCGTGCTTAAGCCACAATTGCTGGTTAAGTAAAGATAAGAGTTCGACAATGGTCTAGAAGAGGTGCCCTTTCGCAACTAGTGTTATGAACACTTTTGTGCTCAGCAACTATTCTTAGCCACTAAGGCCACTTGAGAATAATTCCAAAGCTCCCTTTCACATTGCTCACAACTGTACTTGTACACGCTTCCTTCCATGAAGTCCTTACACCCCCTGAAGGCGTATCTCATTCTCACGGCGGAGCAGCTATTGATTGATTGTGAGCCCAATCTTACTCTTGGAAGTACTTACTCCTGAAAGATGACTGGAATGCTACGTAGTGAGACTTTTGCAGTGCTGCCTGAGCACTCGGAGTGTACAACTTGATACCATTTTAACACAGCGTTTCCCCCTCAAGCAGGCTTAGGTGCCCTACTTACAGTCCATTTTACCAATGCCTGTCTGCATTATGAGCCCACAATTGCAAAGCAGGAAAGCTCAGGTACAACATGAAATGCTTCTGTCGACAGTGGAAAGCTACCTGCTTTTATTGCTTTTGCTGCTGAATTGACCGATTGGAAAGCGACACTAAATCTACTTAGCTCCCTTGTCATAGGACACCTAACATGACAACAGGCACGTCTCAATGACACATGCTTGCCGTAATTGCATAGTCAAAACGCTTCACTGCACAGCCAGAGCTAATTAAATGGATAAGCAAAGATCACCCAGATCTAACCAACATTTCAACTGGAGTAGGGGGCTTTTGACGGAAGACGAAATCTGCACAGAAGCATTTTGCGAACGAAGAGCAAGCGCTCACCCACAGTCCGGAGCGGGGCACCACCGGGCATCTGGCTCGGTGACGAGGACACGACGCAGCATGAAGCTCTCATACTTGGCCACCATGAGCTCATCCTGCAGCAGGCGCCGGATGTCGCTCGGGTGCATGGGCTCCGAGCAGGCAGGGCATGCGATGTTCACCCGGCTCTCCGAAATCTCTACGCGCAGGTACTGGCGCAGGCAGTCTGCACACGCTCGGTGCGTGCACGACGCCAAGCGGGGGAATGCCTCAGCCGGTGCCTCCAGAAGGCATAGCGGGCACTCGAGCAAGCCACCACCGCAGCTCCATAGGGAATCCGTGTCAGAACTTCCCTGGCGCTCGGCGGCACCCAACCGAGACGCCGCCCCACCACTGCCGCTACTGTTTCTACGAGCGTCCTGCAACAACAAACACAATGAAGCACACGTTATAAGTGAGATTACACGGGAGCCTATTTAATGCCACAATGACTAACCAAACTATGAACATAAATGACATAAGTGGCAAATAAAGTAGTACAACTCCTACCACCTTTTTTCTATTAAAGAAGCATCCTATTTAGGTTTTAAATATTTAATAAACCTGTACCAGGCAAAGAACTGCTTCTTCAAGGGTTAATTACTATATATTGCAAAGGTGCCCCAAATCTGTTTTCATGGCGTCCTCCTCCAAAAATGGACTGCAATTATATGTAATTAAGAGCCGTGCAACAGTGGTGGTGTCTTCAACACTAAACTGTTGACTGACATAAAGGTGACTCAGAACGAAGATCATTGCCAACAGAACATTTCAGCCTCATAGCCTTGGCGATAAGCACAAACTCAACAAGGAACGAGACAAAGTGGGATGCCAGTACAAGGTTCAACATGCTGCAACACGTACCCTGTGCTGCAGTGGCATTCGTTGTGGCGGCCGAACAGCCTGTTCAGCATCGTGCGGGGAGCTACAGGAGCGGCCGAAGTTGCGGCGATTGAGAAAGGACGATGAAGAGCCGAGCAAGCGTCGCAAGGAGAAGCGGCCCCCGGCCAGCGGATGGCGTCGCGTGGGCAGCACACCTCCACCCTCAGGAGAGCCCGGGGGCACCGCTGCTGACGATGCCATTGTTGGTCACTGGTGACCCCTTTCACTGGTTACCCTGCATTCAAAAAAAAAAAAAAAATGCAGCCGATACTCAACGACACAAACTGGGCAGATGAATGCCGACGCTATCCAAACCAACTTCAACACGCACTGCAAACGGGAGCAGTAGCATCCGCCTTGCCTGCTTTGCTTTGTACTGCACTGTTGCACAAACTAAAATGCCAAACGGCAACTACTAAGACTCGTTGTGTCTTACAAGTGCTGCGACTAACTCGTCATACACACGTATAGATATTAATCAAAAAGTGAGCAACAGGAAACACTAAGAACAGCCAATTCAATCAGCTAAATACTTCAAAGCTAAATCAATATATATAGCAAAAAAAAATCATTTTATAGCAAAAATAAATCATGATTTGCAGATGCAAGAAACGTAAAGTAATCTGCAGATATCTTGTCCACATGCATGTTTAATGGTTACTGAAACTTGTCAACGAGATATTTTTTTAGAATGTTATCTACAACGTGTTTATTCATATAATCGCATCTGTCATCCAAACCAGATGTCTGAATTTCTCGAACCCATATCATTGCCAACAAGAACCACCAGATACTGCTCAGAACAATCACCAGTCCGCTCATCAGTATGCTTAAACTTCATAACCTTGGTGATAAGCACAAACTCAACTGTATGCAAGATAAGTGACCTTGCTGTGAAGGAATTAAGTCTGTATGTACATAAATCGCAGCAGGGAAAAATATTTTAAATACTGGTGAAGTGATCCTGGAGCACTAATTTTAAAATGCAGCAGATGCATTATTTGCAAGCCAGATATCTTGAACACATTTCTGTGATCAAATCATGAATGTAGTGATAACTAAAAACCCATGCACAACTCTCAATATGGGCTGAACCAAAACACGCATGCCCACTTACAAGCGATGCAGCACATGAAAACGAAGTGATCACGCGTCGCAAACACGATTGAAACCAATGAATACATACACATGGCGTGCTTAGACGCAAGCACCAAAGTGCAAGCCATGTCACTACCAGCGTCACCCATATTGTACTCCAAAAGTGCACTTCCTACCACAATGGTAGAAAGTGCCGAGATGACCCTGAAGGGCAGCGCAATGCCAGGGAAACTCGAGGCACCAAAGTGCCAGGGTATCATTATCACGTCTGTCCCGGCACTTCCTCCCTCCCAGGGTCTGGTGAGAGGGAGGATTTGTTTTGAGCAGATGGCCATACCCTGGCAAAGGGGCCCCCGCTCGGCGCAGGTGCCAAAAAGATGCAGTCTGCCTCCCAGTGTAGAAGCCAAAGAGATCCAACAAAGGGACTACCCAATTGGCGCAGTAACTTAGGTCACAACACACAAAGCGGACATACCTTTTCAAGGTGGGCTATCGCAATGTGCAGAGCCCGTTGCAGTCATGGCCCGGCATTATATATAAATATGTAACCAAGTGAACTTCACGAGCCATGAGCCAAAGCATCACGATCACAGTTACCCCTACCCACATGGTGGTGCCAATAGCTGCAGTGACAGCCAGCGCAAAATGTAGCATTTCGCAAACTTCATTGTGACTAGACTATACAGTTACACAGAACACATCTCTTAAGCTAAACTGTCATTTGAAACATTTATTTAACTTAAACCTTTATGTATTCTGCTGGAACAGTTGGCATTATGAGTGCTTCGCACGACACTGCATGCAACGCGAGGCTTCACCGCTAGGTACATGACCGCAGCGCCCTACCAGCAGTACTTTATTTGTTATTTTTATGTTTTGCAGAGCTAAAAATGAAATGAGAATTTAGAAACAAAAAAAAAAGCTTGAGGTTCTTCAGAAACAGATGTAAGTGTTGGTGGAAGAGCAAGAAAACCTAATATCTTAACATCAGATACATCACGAAACCAAGATATGATTATGAAGGACACCATAGTGGAGGGCTCTATAAACTTGGACGATCTCGTGTTCTTAACGATGGATTTACACGAGGGAATGGAGGGGAAACTTTCGCAGCGGACGGCGCATCACGTGACGTGTGCATCGTCAAAACGTGCCATCCTTGTTTCATCCGCTCTCCTTCGCTCGCGGCAAGGATGGAAAGTGTCGCCGCTGTTTCGGTCCCTCTGACGATTGTCTGGTCTCGATCGAGAGGATTCAGCGTCAAGTCTGTCAACATTGGTCGGATTGGCGTGGCTAAGAAGCAGGCAGCTGGCTTAAAAGCCACGTGTTTTATACATAGAGCTAATATACCGACTCTATTAACTCTATGGTTTAATGCTCGGCGACAACTTTCCTCGGCAATGAAGGAAAAGTTACGGAGGTAGAGCTTCTGCACATGTAGCACTACATGGAGTAGTTCGTTTTGGCACGCGTCTCGTCACTTTGTGGAAAGTGACTGGAGTGCACCATCAGCGCTTCATGTAGACACAGACACTGCTTAGCGTTTGAGGTGCACGCAAAAAAGGGGGACTATCTCTCACGCGTTCAGAAACCCGAAGTCACAACAGATAAATTTAACATATACAAATATCTTACTGGTGTCAGCTGCGTCCTGTCTCAAATAGCACCACGTATAAAATAAAGGCGGCAAATTTATAATTCACGATGAAAATACGGGTGCTACTTTGGAACTACCTGCACTGGCGGCAGGATGCAAGTGATTTGGCTCTTTAGCTTTCCCTTCAGTCCCGCCTCGTGACATTGAGGACTTTTTTTCTTCTTTTTTCTTCGAATGCGCGGCTTTCTCGATGTGATCGCGCACGCAGCGTGGACAAGTGTGGCCTCCCGCGGCGATATCTGTAACGAACGAGCGGGCCATGTTCAAATCAGCCTATGACTGATAGATGGGCTTACTACGTGTGATATTTGAGGGTCTTCCAAGGCTTGCAAGAGAATGGAAAGCAATTTTTAGCTGACTTTTATAAGTTGATACGAATTTTAGGCGGCGTGCTGCGCTATAATATTTGGCTCGCGTGTTGTCGGCAGCCTCTACTATCGATCGGCAGCGTTTTCTGACCATTCTCAAGAAGTGTTGCAGGGCCCCTTTTAGCGCCTAATACCAACCGCAGATTTCAACCTTTCTTAACGCTTTCCGTGGCTAGTGTAAACTTCGCCCTTTTCTATTTCTTTAATTGTCTTTGCATTTTTCCCCATCCCCGGTGCCACGGACTGACCACGCGACCTTTTATTACAAGGCCAGAAGGTCACAACAGAAAGAGACAGCCTGAAAGAAGAGCCAACGCACATGCCCCTCGAAGCGTACGCCTAACCATTCGCGACGGGTGCTTCCTTGAGAACGCATGCTAGCGGGCAAGGTCGGTCTCTCTCGTCTTGTTTACGTATACGCGTCCAGAGCTTCGCCGTGGAGCGAGGCCGCTACATCACCCTCTTTTTCATCTCTCTCTTTCTTCCAGCACTGCGAAGCCGAGTTCATGAATCCTAGATCAGGAAACGGGAAACGAGAGAGGCCGGGGAGCGGCCAAGCACGCATCACACAACACGGGAGTTTATTTTTCTTATTTTTTTTCCAGACGTTGACGAAGTGTACATATACGGGTCACGCCCACGCCAATCGTTTCCCCCTTTTTCTTAGTTTTTTTTTTATTACAGCCACCACCGAAGCGCGCAGTCCGCACGCCATATATACCATATCGAGCCATTCGCGGCACGGTCGCGTTCAGCCTTGTACCAGAACATATACAAGCAAAGGTCCTCCCCGTGGCGCCGCCGCGTCACTGTGCGAGGCACTGAACCGCGAAGCGCATCCGCCCCCAAAACAGACCGCCAGGCGCAACACGCGCAAATGAAAAAGACAAACGAACGAGTGAAATATGCGTGCGTATATGGGTAGAGAACTTGGCAGCAGCGACCTTGCGTTGTCAGATGCGCGCGCGCCACGCCCGCTGCGCGGCCACCACCGGATGCAGCAGGCACCGCGGCCGGATCCACGGCGCTGCTTTTGAATCACGCGCAGAGCCTTCGGCCACGACGAAGACCAAATCGGGAGGCCGCGTGCGACGACGTCGTCGGCATGACCGTGTAATACGTGCGCGCATGTGCACACGCACGCACAACGAAAACCACCTCCTCCCACGCGGAGCAAAACGAGTCGGGGAAAGTGTTCGGGGCCGCGCCCTGAGCGGATGCTTCGCAGCGTAGTCGGGGTGTCTAGTGCGGAGGAGAGGGGGGGGGGGGTGAAACTCCATGAAACTTTTGCCTTTTGCATGCAGGCGAACACACGCACACACACGCACAGAGAGAAAGGGAGTAAGAGAGAGGCGTACATAAAAGCAGATCGGAAACCCCCGAAAAAATTTTCTGGTTACGTATACGCGTGGAAGATTTAAACGAGAAAGATCGGCTGGATTGCGACTTGCCAAACAGCGTGCACGTCCTTCTTCGTATAATCCATTCCCGAACAAAGCCTGCCTCGAAGGTGGCTATCTTGACTGGTATACCAAATTAAACCTAATACCGCGCTAAGCGAACGGGGAGAGTGAACAAGCAGGTCCGGTTTCCATGCGCAGACAAATGTTTAGAAACTACTGAAAAAAAAAAAAAAATGCGCAAACTCCAGCATCGCCACCTCTCCGATACCGAAGCGTGCATTCAGGATCATTCAGAACGCGCATCAATAAGATTTTCCTTTTTCTTCCTGCGCACGAGTACTAATAATGAGTGCCTCAGACAGACTCTCCGACGTTTCGACAGGTGTACCCATCGTCGCCAAAGGAGCCTCATCATCCTTGGCAAGCTAACGTACAAAAACAAAATGGTTAGCCAGTGACGTCACGTCGCTCACTGCGATGACGGGGATCCGTCACCTTAGCAACGCTGGGGTATAACGCGTGCAGCTGTCAAACTGCGTGGTTTGAGTGGTCCGGCTGAGCCACTTGCGTTCATGTCGCTTCTGTTTAAGTGACGGGCCCCCTCACTGTAGTAAGTTTCAAACTATGTGCACAACTGGCAACAACGTCACACCGTGTAACTCTGGGATACAATCTCGGCCTGCCGCCTGCACAGAGCACATGGCAGTAG